TTGCACCATTGTATAGCTTAGCCTCCCCTGCTGTGTAAGGCGTAGGACTGCCTAGCTTGCCTAGTCTAGTCGCTGCATCGGCTCCGTCCCCGGCCTCAGCCACTGCTTCTCTGTCCTTCACTCTCGACTCCGGTGCTTTTGCCTGCTTCTTCCGCGACCGTTCCACACTCACTCCGCTTGCTGCGCCTGCTATTGTCTCTCTCGCTGACCCTTCTGCGGGTCCTGTCGTCGCTCGCAGTTCTACGTCCCTTCCCTGTCCAGCAGTTCCCTCAACCTCCCTTACAGGCCTCCACGTTCCCTCGTTCTCGAGGAACCTGGTTGGTGTCGGCTGTCTCCAGGACCTCGGCGTCACCACTACGTTCCCTGGGCACGAGCGGTTCGCTGTCTGTTCTGAGGCTGTCTCAGGTTCCCCCCTTGCGACGTTCCCCCGAGACCCGGTGTCCGGTCTGTTCACCCTCGACACCGCTTCCCCCACGGTTGGTGCGTCCTCCCAGGTCGCTGCAGCTTGCTCGTGTCGGTCCCTCACTCACCCGTCCCTTCTCTGGCACCACCGCTTAGGTCACCCTGCTCTCCCGCGTCTGTGTCACATGTCCCAACACGGTCTTGTCTTAGGTCTCCCCGTGTCGCTCCCTGCCCTTCCTCCCTCGACTGCGCCACCGTGCACGCCTTGCGTCGAGGGTCGGCTCCGCCGTGCTCCTCACTCCTCCTCGCTGCGCCCTGCTACTGCCCCCCTTCAGACCCTGCACCTGGACGTTTGGGGCCCTGCCCCCGTCCCCGGACCGCGTGGTGAGCGCTATTTCCTTGAGCTCGTCGACGACTACACGCGCTATACCACGGTGTTTCCCCTGGAGTGGAAGGCCGACGTGCCCGACGTTCTTCTCCCGTGGGTTGTGGCTGCGCGTCTTCACCGCGGTCTCCCCGTGTTGTGTCTCCACTCTGACCGTGGCAGCGAGTTCGCCTCTGGTCGGCTTGGACAGTTCTGTCGTGCGGAGGGCATCACCCAGTCGTACACCTTGCCGGACTCGCCACAGCAGAATGGGGTTGCTGAGCGCCGCATCGGCTTGGTCATGGAGGTCGCCCGTACCTCCATGATTCATGCCGATGCCCCCCATTTTCTGTGGCCGTTCGCTGTTCGCTACGCTGCTCACCAGCTTAACTTGTGGCCACGCTCCCAGCGACCACAGGTTTTGCCGACCCTCCTTTGGACCGGGTCCCCGGGTGACGTGTCTGCATTCCACGTCTGGGGCTGCCTTGCTCATGTTTGTGCCTCTGGCACGGACAAGCTTACTGCCCACACTGTCCCCTGTGTCTTCCTCGATTTCCCCCTGGACTCGTCTGACTGGCTTTTCTACCACCCGCCGTCTCACCGCTTCCTCCATTCTCGTGACGTCACCTTTGACGAGTCGGTCTCCTTCTACCGCCGCTTCCCTCACCGCGGTCTCCCGGTTGCCTTGCCCCTGTTCCTTGCTCCCTCTCCCCTGGTAGCCCCTGCTCCTCTCCCGCCTCGCCCTGCCCTGTCTGGTGTCTCTCACATCACTCCCCTCCCGTCGGTTGTCCTCGTTGAGGATTCCGCTGACTCTGGTGGTACCCCCGGCCCGTCCTTGCCGCATCCCCCTTCCCCGGTGTCTTCGCCTCCACTGTCGCAGTCGCCGCCTCTGCCGCAGCCGCTGCCGCCGTCACCGCCGCTGCCATCGCCGCTGCTGCCGCCGCCGCTGCCGCCGCCGCCGCTCTTGGCCCCTGGGGGTGCTGGTGTGGAGGCGGGTGTTCTTCCTGCGGCTCCTGGGGGTGCCGCCGGTGTTGGAGGGGGTTCTCGCTCTAGGGGTGTTGGTTCTGGGGGTGCTGCTATTGAGGGTTATGGCCCAGCCGTCGCAGCAGCCGCGGCAGCCGTCGCCGCCGGTCTCCGCTCTCCGCCTGCTCGGCCTTCCCTCCCCGGACCGCTCGCCGGTGTCTCCCCCACCGCCTGCTGACCTTCCTGTCTACGGTCCTGTGTTCCCGCCACCGGACTCGTCTCCGACCCGTCTTCCTCCTCGTTCCCCTCCTGTGTCCCCTCCGCTGTCCCGTGACCCTACACCTCCGTCCCACATTTGGTCTCGCCGTCCCTCCCGTGCTCATCCCGTCTCTCTTGTCCTGCGCTCCCACCCTATGTTGCTCCGTTCCCGCTCGTCTCGTCCTCCCCTCCTCCCGTCCCCTCCTCCCTCGTCCCTTGCTGTTGCACCTCCTCCGTTCTCTGACTACCTTCGTGCTGCTCGTCCCCTTGTCCCTCGGGTCCTTGCCTCTCTTGTTACTGACCCTGCTGTTCCTGTCTCGCGCCTTGACGCGCTTGTCGCTGCTGTCGCTGACTTCGCCTCTACCCGCCGCCTTGACTTCGCTACCGCTCTGGTCTCTGACCCTGCCCGTCCTCCGTCCGTCGGGGGTGCTCCTGCCCTTGGCAGTGACGTTCTAGAGGACAGGCAGTACGAGCTTGCTTTCCTTTCCGAGGCTGCTCCCCATCTCTTCTCCATGCTGCTAGTCCCTGAGGGTGACCCCGACGCTTTCGACATCCCAACCCCTCGCACCTACGCTGAGGCCACCTCGGGACCTTGGGCCTCTTAGTGGATAGCTGCCATGGAGTAGGAGATGGCATCTTGGAGGTCCACCGGCACTTACGTCGACGCAATTCCCCCGCCTGGGGTGAACGTAGTTGATGGTCGGTGGCTCTTCAAGGTGAAGCGCCCCCCTGGAGAGCCGCCTGTGTTCAAGGCGCGCTACGTGGCCAGAGGCTTCAGTCAGCGCGAGGGGGTTGACTTCTTCCAGACTTTCGCCCCGACCCCGAAGATGACCACTCTTCGGGCGCTGCTACACGTAGCAGCACAGCGCGACTACGAGCTTCACTCCCTCGACTTCTCTACTGCCTTTCTTCAGGGCAGCCCACACGAGCAGGTCTACCTGTGCCGACCACAGGGCTTCACTGATACCTTCCCCCCTGGGACCCAGTGGCTTCTCAGGCGCCCGGTCTACGGCCTGCGTTAGGCTCCCCGCAAGTGGCACGACACGCTGCGTGCCACGTTAGCAGACCTGCAGTTCTTTCCGTCCTCTGCTGACCCGTCGCTGTTTGTGCGTTCCGGCCAGACTCCGTTCTACATCATTGTTTACGTAGATGACCTGGTCTTTGCTACTGCTGAAAGGGACGCAGTGGCCTCTGTGGATGCCGATCTGCTGAAGAGACACACCTGCACTGACCTTGGAGAGCTGCGTCGCTATCTTGGCTTGCAGATCTCTAGGGACAGAGCAGCACGCACCATCACTCTGACACAGTCACACTTGGTGCGTCAGGTCCTTCAGAGGTTCGGTCTTCAGTTCTCCTCCGCACAGCCCACACCCCTACCTGTAGACCATGGGCTCTCCGCTCCCGTTCCTGAGGAGCCAGTAGAGCCCAGCGGCCCCTACGCAGAGCTGGTGGGTTGTCTCATGTACGTGATGACTTGCACTCGCCCAGATCTCGCATACCCTCTCCGCATCCTGGCTCACTTTGTGGCTACATGCAGACACCGACCTCAGCACTGGTCTGCCGCTAAGAGGGTTTTGCGTTATCTTGCTAGTACATCGAGCATGGGGTTAGTGCTAGGAGGACGCAGGCCAGTTGTCCTTACTGGGCACACAGACGCTTCTTGGGCAGACGACTCTGAGACGCTCAGGTCGTCGCAGGGCTACTGTTTTAGCCTTGGTTCGGGTGCTATCTCTTGGAGATCCACTCGCTCGTCGTCTGTGGCTCAGTCCAGCTGTGAGGCTGAGATCTACGCTGGTGCCATGGCGGCACAGGAGCTCCGCTGGCTGACCTTCTTGCTCACTGACTTAGGTGAGCGGCCTAGCTCTGCCCCGGTCCTGTACGCTGACAACAGGGCCATGATACACCTGTGTCAGGAGCCTCGGCTTGAGGGCAGAGCGAAGGATATCCAGCTGAGATACTTCCTTCTGCGCGAGCTACAGCAGCGCCGCCAGGCCCGCGTAGTTCACTTGGCCTCGGGTGCCAATACAGTTTATATCTTTACTAAAGCGCTTGCGCCTAAAGATCATCAGCGGCACTGTGTACAGCTGGAGCTTGTTCCGGTAGCTATTCACCTGTTAGGATCCTGATTGTATACTCTCTATTATATATACCTGTCAGACTGGCCTTGTGGCCTCACCTCCAGTGGTCAGACTAGTAGTGCCGCCCTGGCTTGCTTTTGTCTTGTTTGTACTTTTGCTGACTGGTCTCCAGACCCCTGCCTTAGTGGTTGGACTAGTAGTGCCACCCTGAGCTATCTGCTTCTTGCTTAGCTTCACCCCTTGTCTAGCCTAGGGGGTGTGTCAACTTATACATATTAGCTATGTAGAAGTTATTGGTTAGACTGGAGTATGCTTCTAGTGAGTACAACCAACTAGTATTTGTTCTAGGTTTCTCCTTCTAGTGCACAATTCAGTTCTTACTTTAACACATGCTTCAATTGATACGGCATTTTGGTAGATCGTGGTGCTTTTTCCAGGGCCCGTCCGAAGTGCTGCTTGGTTTCCCGTTGAAGTTGCATGTGAAGCATCGAAGTGAGAGTGCATGGCATGCGATTGAATGACGGGGATGAGCATGGGGAAGAGCTAGGGGAAGCATAGTGGGGATGTAAAGGAGGCCAGCAAGACGAATGTGTGAAGGAGAGTCTCGATGCCAAGGAGCTTCTTAGAGAAGAAGTGAAATATTTAACTAGGTGAGTGGTGGATTTCATGGAAGCATATTGACTTGTGTTGCAAGGTTTAGAACATCTCATATCACATGCTCAGCAGTATCCACAAGGAACCGCACGAAACCTATTTACAACCGTACCGGGCCGCAATCTTTCCGCTCAACCGAAATGTCGAGGTGAGGCTGGGTAAGGAGCCACGGCCCCCGCATCGCGCGCGATTCAATCTGACTGACACCAGATTTTCCCGCCAACGGCGTGGGTGAGTGAGTGGTATGTAGCACGAGGAACAGCAACGCATGCACCGGGCTTTCCCACTCCCCAGGCCTCGACGACGCTCTCTTGGTTTCCACATCGCTCCACCGTGACTGTCTCGCCCGTCGTACGGTCGCGTACAAATCGCTGCGAGCCTCGGGATCGCCGCAATGGCCCGCCGCACTAGGGCTGTTTGCTCGCGGATACTCGCGATTGTCCTTCCGTGTCTTGCGACGGTCGTCGTCGCTCTCCTGCCGCGCGTCGTCCAGTCCATCGCTCTCGCCGACTCCCAAGGTGTGCTGCGGCTGTTTCCAAATTAAAGTTGGTGGAAAATCAGTTTTGGTGTGCAATCGAAGGCGTTCTTTAGTTCAGAAATCAGCCACATTTTCGATCGCACGAGTAGGCTGGAGCATGCAACGTCTTGATCGACTGGATTGCTCTCTCTCTCTCAACCTTCCTTGCGTCGTCCTCGCGGCTTAATTTCCGCCTCTTACGAGCGTGAGAGAGAGCGAGCGTGCGAGCGTGGGAGCGTGGGCGACGCTGAAGATCATCATGCCTGGCCGAGCACGGCTTCACACGCCTCGCCCTGAGATTCCTTCCCTCGCGCCTCGCCCCTCTCCCCATTCCTCCTCCCATTATTCCAACACCTTCTGCCCTCCCCCACTCCCTTTCTGCCCTCGGCTCCCCGTGCACTCGGCGCGCAGCGGCGGCGCTGCTGGAGTGCGCGTCGGAGTGGGGGATGAGCGCGATGGGGTGGGCGCAAGGCGCGGAGTGCGCGCAGGCGCAGGCGATCACATGCGACCGGGACGGCATGGTGACGTCACTGTGAGTGCGACGGGCGAGGCCATGGCGACACGGACTACACTACTTGCTTGGTCGAGCGACGGGGCGTCGCTCGCACCCCTCTCCCCACAACCCCTCAGGGCTCTCCTCTCTGCATGAATCACAACCCCTCTCCTCTCTGCATGAATCCCAACCCCTCTCCTCTCTGCATGAATCCCAACCCCTCTCCTCTCTGCATGAATCCCAACCCCTCTCCTCTCTGCATGAATCCCAACCCCTCTCCTCTCTGCATGAATCCCAACCCCTCTCCTCTCTGCATGAATCCCAACCCCTCTCCTCTCTGCATGAATCCCAACCCCTCTCCTCTCTGCATGAATCCCAACCCCTCTCCTCTCTGCATGAATCCCAACCCCTCTCCTCTCTGCATGAATCCCAACCCCCTCCCTCTGCCGAATCCAACCCCTCTCCTCTCTGCATGAATCCCAACCCCTCTCCTCTCTGCATGAATCCCAACCCCTCTCCTCTCTGCATGAATCCCAACCCCTCTCCTCTCTGCATGAATCCCAACCCTCTCCTCTCTGCATGAATCCCAACCCCTCTCCTCTCTGCATGAATCCCAACCCCTCTCCTCTCTGCATGAATCCCAACCCCTCTCCTCTCTGCATGAATCCCAACCCCTCTCCTCTCTGCATGAATCCCAACCCCCTCTCTCTCCCCTCTCCTGCATGAATCCCAACCCCTCTCCTCTCTGCATGAATCCCAACCCCTCTCCTCTCTGCATGAATCCCAACCCCTCTCCTCTCTGCATGAATCCCAACCCCTCTCCTCTCTGCATGAATCCCAACCCCTCTCCTCTCTGCATGAATCCCAACCCCTCTCCTCTCTGCATGAATCCCAACCCCTCTCCTCTCTGCATGAATCCCAACCCCTCTCCTCTCTGCATGAATCCCAACCCCTCTCCTCTCTGCATGAATCCCAACCCCTCTCCTCTCTGCATGAATCCCAACCCCTCTCCTCTCTGCATGAATCCCAACCCCTCTCCTCTCTGCATGAATCCCAACCCCTCTCCTCTCTGCATGAATCCCAACCCCCCCCTCTGCAGATCCCCCCTCTCCTCTCTGCATGAATCCCAACCCCTCTCCTCTCTGCATGAATCCCAACCCCTCTCCTCTCTGCATGAATCCCAACCCCTCTCCTCTCTGCATGAATCCCAACCCCTCTCCTCTCTGCATGAATCCCAACCCCTCTCCTCTCTGCATGAATCCCAACCCCTCTCCTCTCTGCATGAATCCCAACCCCTCTCCTCTCTGCATGAATCCCAACCCCTCTCCTCTCTGCATGAATCCCAACCCCTCTCCTCTCTGCATGAATCCCAACCCCTCTCCTCTCTGCATGAATCCCAACCCCTCTCCTCTCTGCATGAATCCCAACCCCTCTCCTCTCTGCATGAATCCCAACCCCTCTCCTCTCTGCATGAATCCCAACCCCTCTCCTCTCTGCATGAATCCCAACCCCTCTCCTCTCTGCATGAATCCCAACCCCTCTCCTCTCTGCATGAATCCCCCCCCTCTCTCAGAATCCCAACCCCTCTCCTCTCTGCATGAATCCCAACCCCTCTCCTCTCTGCATGAATCCCAACCCCTCTCCTCTCTGCATGAATCCCAACCCCTCTCCTCTCTGCATGAATCCCAACCCTCTCCTCTCTGCATGAATCCCAACCCCTCTCCTCTCTGCATGAATCCCAACCCCTCTCCTCTCTGCATGAATCCCAACCCCTCTCCTCTCTGCATGAATCCCAACCCCTCTCCTCTCTGCATGAATCCCAACCCCTCTCCTCTCTGCATGAATCCCAACCCCTCTCCTCTCTGCATGAATCCCAACCCCTCTCCTCTCTGCATGAATCCCAACCCCTCTCCTCTCTGCATGAATCACAACCCCTCTCCTCTCTGCATGAATCCCAACCCCTCTCCTCTCTGCATGAATCCCAACCCCTCCTCTCCCTCCACCGCGCGCCCCTACTGCCGTCAGGGACGTGCACTCATCAGGCCTCAACGGCTCCATTCCCCTCGCCCTCACCCGCCTCTCGCGCCTCCACACGCTGTCAGTCGCTCTCCTTCTCCCCCCTCCTCTCTCTCTCCGTGTCTGGCCGATTAAACGTCGCACTCTCCTTCACCTTCTCCTGCTTGCTCGCATGCGTTGCCCTCTCCTTCACCTTCTCCTGCTTGCTCGCATGCGTTGCCCTCTCCTTCACCTTCTCCTGCTTGCTCGCATGCGTTGCCCTCTCCTTCACCTTCTCCTGCTTGCTCGCATGCGTTGCCCTCTGCCCATCTCCATCACACCCGCCACCCACCCTCTCCCCCCCCCCCCCCCCCCCGCCACACCCCTTCCCCCCCCGGCGTGCAGCGATCTGCAGTTCAACGATCTGTGGGGCCCTGTGCCGCCCGCCCTCTCCACCCTCGCCCGCCTGCACACGCTGTGAGGCACCCTGAGGGGAGCGCCCTGTGCAGCACCCCGCACCCTGCACCCTGTGAAAGGGAATGCACCGTGTGCCTGTGAGGGGGTTAGGGCCTGGGTTGGGGATGCTGTGCGTTGCGCCTTGCGTGGGACGAGCCCTGTGCATGCGGTGCTGAAGGGCGCTGCTAAATACGCCATATCATATGTGTGTGTGTCTGCACGCATGCATGTATGCATGTGTGTGTGCATGTGTGCATCTGTGTGTAAGTGCGTGCGTGCGTGCGTGCGTGCGTGCGTGTGTGTGTGTGCATATTTGAGTGCATGTGTGTGTGTGCATGTGCGTTGTGTGCATGTTTGAGAGCATGTGTGCATGTGTGTGTGTACGTGCATGTGTGTGTGTGCATGTTTAAGTGCATGTGTGTGTGTGCATGCTTATGTGCACGGGTGCATGTGTGTGTACGCCCATGTGCCGGCAGGGACCTAAACCGCAACAACTTCACGGGCCCTATTTTCAACGTCGTGTCCAACATGCCATCGCTAGTCGACCTGTAACACCTGCATCTACCTGCCCTGTAACAACTATCAGTCGATGCTCTCCGTGCCTTGCCCTCTCCTCTCCTCTCACTTTCTCCCCCTCTCCCCCTCCCACGCTATCCCCTCGCCCTACCCCCCCCCAGCAAGCTCTACCACAACCGTTTCACAGGGCCCATCCCGCCCGCCATCTCGCGCCTGCACCGACTAACCCACCTGTCAGTCGCCCTCGCTTGCCATTCCCCTCTCCCCCCCTCCCCGGCACGAGTCCGCCAATTTCTCCCTTCCTCCCCTCGCTTTCTCTTGCCAATCCTCTTCTTTGGGGTCTCTTTTCGTCTCACTATACACTTGGCTTCCCCCTCTGCTTCTCTCCACTCGCCCTCCTGTCCCCCCAACCTGCCCCCAGCGATATCGACTCCAACAACTTCCAAGGGCCGCTGCCACCCGCCTTCGGCCGTCTCAAAGCACTGTCTTACCTGTATGCCTCTCTTACCTGTACGCCTCTCTTATCTGTACGCTTGTCGCGCCTCTTCCCTCTTGCCTTGGCCCTCTCTCACCTCTTTCCTGAAGATCCCATGCCATGCCATGCCATGCCATGCCCTCCCAGGAGCTTGTCGGCGATCGGCCTCTCTGGCTTGCTGCCCGAAGCCATCAGTGGGCTCACTGCCTTGCAATGCCTGTAACGCATGCCTCGCTGTTCTGCACAGCCTGTAACGCATGCCCTCACCTCGCTGCGAAGCCTGTAGCACATCGCTGGATCGCAACCACGATTCCAGTCATTGTACCCCCTCTGGTGCCTTCCATCGCCGCCTCTGGTGTCTCCATCGCCGCCTCTGGTGCCTTCCATCGCCGCCTGCATGCCAGTGCCGTGGCATGACCGTGCTTGCGTCCTCCGTGCGCCTCTCGTTGCACGTGTCCCTCCCATTGCGTGCGTGTGCCTCTCTGTGTGCGTGTGCCTCTCTGTGTGCGCTGCACTGCACTGCACCCACCAGCTACGCATCCGCCAACACCATCACAGGCAGCATCCCCACGGCCCTCGCTGCCCTCCCCCGCCTCAAGTTCCTGTGAGTGGCCACCGCGCCTCGGACATCTCACTCCCCCAGCTCTTGCTCCTCAGCGCCCCGCTGCTGCGCTCGCTCTCGCTCTCGCTCTCACTCTCCCTGCCCTGCTGTGCTTCTGGGGAGGCGTGCATGAGACCACCACACCACACAGTCACCAACGCCCTTGGGAAGCACAGCAGCCTCAGGGGCAGCAGCCCCTCAGGCAAGGGGAGGGGGGGGGGTGAGCATCTACAACGCAGAGTCTTTGCGAGCCCTCCCAACACTACCCCACCCCGCCACCCCCCCTCCCCTCCGTCCCCATGCCTCTCAGGTCTCTGAGTCAGAACCCCATCACGGGCTCTCTGCCTGACGCCCTCTCCCGCCTCACCGCCCTCGAACACCTGTCAGACCCCCACCCAACCCCCTTCTTCCTCCCCACTGCAACGCCTGTCATGAGACTCCATTTTGCACTCACTCCTTCACTCCGCACCGCTCTGCTCCACCTCTCATCCCTCTACCTTCCAACCCTCCTACGTCCCGCTCACTCCACGCCTCACATTCCCCTCCCATCCGATTCCATCCTTCATCACCATCCCCACTCCCCTCCCCCCCTCCCTCCTCCCCGTCAGCACGCTCAGCGAAACCAGCATCACGGGTCAGCTGCCACGCTCCCTCTCCGCCCTCACCCGCCTCACCACCCTGTGCGGCCCTCCCTCTCGCATGCTCCCACGTGGCTCATGCTTCCCACCCATGCCCTCTGCATTAACCCATTATGCGAGCAGTCGTTGCTTCATCCATCCTCATTTGCTTCCTTTCACCCAAACCAGGTTACCATTTGTCGACTTGCACACCTTTACCGAATCTCCTGTCATTGGCATTCACATTAACCACATTCCCACCTCTCAACTTCTTCTCCTCCCTTTCCTCTCTAACCGTCTTTCTCATGGCCCTCGTTCACACTACCCTCCTTCTCCTCCCTTTCCTCTTTCCTCCCTTCGCATTCACACAAACCACATCCCCACCTCTCATCTCCCTCTCCTCCCTTTCCTCGTCCTCAAACATGAACCCCATTCAGTGACTTGCTCAACATGAAGCTTCAAGGAAGCATCCCCGCCACTTTTGGAGCCCTCACTAACCTTGTGTCCTTGTGCGAATGCCTCGTCCCTCGTTCAGCCCCCTTTGAGTCGCCTCGTCCCTCGTTCAGCCCCCTTTGAGTCGCCTCGTCCCTCGTTCAGCCCCCTTTGAGTCGCCTCGTCCCTCGTTCAGCCCCCTTTGAGTCGCCTCGTCCCTCGTTCAGCCCCCTTTGAGTCGCCTCGTCCCTCGTTCAGCCCCCTTTGAGTCGCCTCGTCCCTCGTTCAGCCCCCTTTGAGTCGCCTCGTCCCTCGTTCAGCCCCTTGCAATTTTCAGCTCTTGCCGCACCCCCTTCAACATTTCTCCTCTCCCATTCAACCACTATGTTCCTTGTGGGTAGCTATACACATCTATATTGTGAATATATTTTCGCAAGCTCCTCCGTATGTGTTTTATTAGGTACTCGAGTCACATATCGTTGTGTGTTAATGTGTGTACCCACACACACATATGCGCGCTCACATTTCTCCGAAATTATTAACATCTCTTGTGTTTCTTCCCTTCCGACCCTGTCATGTTATACAGATACTTTTCCGGCGCAACCTGTCCACTCGAGGGCAGCTGTGAAATTAATCAGAACCGTTCATCTGTGTTCTGCAGAATCTGCTCAACCTTCTGCTCCTCATGCATCCCAATCAATGGTCAGGATCACATCAAACATGCATCTTCCGAGTAATGCTTGTAGCTCTCACGAGTCCACTCCTCACAATCCCCACCTTCAGTGCACAGAACGAACAGCTAACATTTCCCCCCCTCCCCCCCTCTTCCGCTCAAAATCTCTTTCCATTCATCATTCCCGAATCCCCATCCCCTCCCCCAGCACCGCTCCGCAGTCCCCCTCCCCCATCCCCTCCTCCCCCTCCGCCGTCCCCCTCCCCTCCCCCGCCTCCCCCCATCATCCCCCTCCTCCTCGCCCCCCCTTCCCCGCCTCCCCCTCCGCCCTCCTCCCTTCCCCCCTCCGCCATTGCCGGTGCAGCAGTGGGGGCGCTGCTGCTGCTGCTGGCGGCGGTGGTGGGGGGGTGGGGGGTGTGGAGGTGGAGGAAGGGGAGGCAGAGAGGGGGAGAGGATGCAGGTGCGCCCATGCTCAAGCCCCCTCCGTGCCCTCGCATACCCCTTGCTGACGTCATCCGGGCCACCAATGGGTGGGCAGAGGGGCGGAGGGTGGGGGGAGGCAGGTGGAGTGACGTGTACAGGGGGGAGGTGGGGGAGGGGGCGGAGGGGTGGGAGGGGAGGGAAGGCGAGAAGGATGGGGGGAAGGATGGGGGGAAGGATGGGGAGAAGGATGGGGGGAAGGATGGGGGGAAGGATGGGGGGAAAGATGGGGATGGGACAGGAGGAGAGATGAACCAGGAAGGGGCGGAGGAGGGGGTAGGGCCGCAGGGGCGGCAAGGGGAGGGTGCAGGGAGGGGGGGAGTGCGGGGCCGGAGGGGCGTGTGGGCGGTGAAGCGCATGGGGGGGGCGGGGCTCAGCGCCTCGTTTGAGGCTCACGTGCATGGCTTGGCGCGCCTGGTGCACCCCAACGTGCTCCGCCTGCTGGGGTGGTGCTGGGAGGGAAGGGGGGGGAGGGGGGCATGCGGGGAGGGAGGTGGGAGGGAGGGGGGATTTATGGGGGAGTGCAGAGGGAAGGAGGGGAGGGAGGAGCAGGAGGGGAGGGAGGAGCAGGTGGTGGTGTACGAGTGGATGGAGCACGGCAGCCTTGAGACGATGCTGCAGTCGCCAGGCGCCAGCCCCCTGTCGCTGCGGCAGCGCGTGGACATCCTTGTGGGCGTGCTGAGGGCGCTCAAGGCGGTGCAGAGCCACGGGCTGGTGCACGGCGACCTCAAGCCCAGCAACGTGCTGCTGGGGGCCGCCTACGAGGTGAGACTCATGGGCGCTGCTCGGTGCGGCGCACGAGGTGCGTGAGGTGGTCAGCGCTCGCACGTGCGCATCACTGCTCCTCCAGCAGCTCCATTCCGCCACATCCGCGCCCAGACGACCCTCCCCTTGCCCCCCCTGCCACACTCCTCCCGTGCGCCTCTCCCCTCCCCCTCTCCCCCAGCCCCGAGTGGGCGACTGGAGCCTGGTGCGCATGGGGCAGCGCGTGCACGTAGACATGGGGGGGAGAGGGGGGCGGGGAGCCGGGGAGGACATGGGGGAGGGGGGCGCAGCGGAGGCGGGGGAAGGATTGGGAGGGCAGCAGGAAGGATCCCTGACAGGCGGGATCAGGGAAGACAGCGAGGGGGGGAGCAGGGGTGGCAGCAGTAGCAGCAGTGGGCATTGGACCGAGAGAAGCAGGAATGGTGTCAGCGCTGGTGGCGTGGGGCAGGCGAGTGTGCTGCGGTGCACGGAGGGGCATGTGGATCCCATGGTGCTGCAGAGCGGCCTTGCCACCGCCACAGCTGACATGTACAGGTGGGTGCGCCACAGCAAGCAGTATTTCGGTTGGATTGCCATTGCACCACATGTATTACTCTCAGGTATGTTTCCAGAATAAGTCATGTGCATTAACTGCAATCACTCCCTCCTCTTCCCACAACCCCCCTGCGTGCCCTCGCCAGTGTGGGCGTGGTACTGCTGCAGCTGCTCACGGGGTGGGCTGCTCCGTTCAAGCTACTGGATGGGCAGCGCACGCACATTTGTGACTGGGTGAGTCCGGGCACGGCATGACATGGTGTGGTTGTGGCGAGACGATGATGGTTGTGGTGATGGTGCAGGCACAGTGTGCATTGAGCTTGCACTCTTGTTGACACTGCATGCAATGCGTCAAACGGCATGCCTCATGTTGTATCCGCTGAATCTCTCTCGCTCACACGGCCCTTCTTCCCCATCTCCCTTGCCCCTTCGCACTGCTTCACTCCCCATCCCTCCCCTGCCCACCTCTCCCCTGCTCCCCTCCCCCACGCTCAGGCCCAGCAGCATGTGACAGCAGGCGACGTCTCTCCTCTCCTCGACCCACTCCTGCCGCACCCTGCACCCCCTCCCTCCCTCCCCCTCTCCCTCTTCCACCTCGCTCTCTCCTGCGCCTCCCCCTTCCCCTCCTCCCGCCCCACGCCCTCCTCTGCCCTGCTCGCCCTCAAGCCCCTCCGCGCCTCGCTCCAGGGAGGGCGGACAGGCACAGGGGAGGGGGGAGAAAGAAGGGAGGGTGGGGAAGATGGTGGGAGGGGGCAGAGCAGCGGGGGATGGAGCGGGCTGTTTGGGGGGGGTGGTGGTGCAGGTGCGAGTGGGGGGTTCAGCGGTGGTGCGCTGGGGCGCAGGCTGGCAATGCTGGGCGCCGAGGACAGCCGGGAGTTCGTGGTGTAGACCAAGGTGGGGGGGGGGTGGGGGAGGCGTTATCTGCCCATGTCGCTGTCTTTCCCGTGTGCCTGGGCTGCGTGAGCTGGGAGGTGTTTGCACAACACAACTTTTATTGTCACTCTTCTCTGCTACACTGGAACTTTTTATCTGATCTGATCCGATCTGATCTGATCTGATCCGATCTGATCTGTATACCATGTACCCAGTGCTTGTCTTCTCCTGGACTTACTTGGCCATACGTCATCTCTTGGTGATTCATTAGAGTATGCCTTGTGTGCACCACAATATTTACTACCATGTCTCCACTAGTATCAACGAGACGCAACACAAGCAGTTCACTGGTGACAGCGGCTTGGAGCCGTAAGCATAGGTGACGGCCCCTGGGAATTGTCGAGGCAGTGGTGGCGGACCGTGGCAGTGGTCTAGGCGCTGGGGACGGTGACCTCGACCTCGATGCCGGGCTCGATGCTGATGGAGGTGATCTGCTTCACCACCTCGGACGGGCTCACCAGGTAGATCACGCGCTTGTGCACCCTAAGCTCAAACGTGTCCCACGTGTTCGTTCCTAAGGAGGGGAGGAGGGGCCGGGGGGGGGGGAGGGGGGGGAAGGGAAAGGATAGAAGATGAGTGATAGCAACAAAGAATGGAAGCGGCGGGCCCAGCTGTCGAAGGCCAACGGCAAGTGAGCGGCAAGGAGGAGCGAGGAGCCCGGTTGAGGCCAGTGGATGGTGCGCGTGGAACAGAGGAGCAGGGCAGTCCTGGCACCAGACGCATGCTGCCTCTTGTTCTTTCCATCTCCGATCGTGCAGGGGCATCTCGCACGATTCACATACCATGCGTTTCCCTCCCTTTGTTGCCGGCTCAAGAGCCCAGGCCTACTCGGCTGTGTTTCATCTGCAATTCACAACCAGCCATGCGACTCGGGCGACTCACCGTTGCCGCAGGGCGACTTGCGCGTGGTGTGGCGGAGCACCTTGGTGGGCATGCGCACGGGGCCCTTCACCTTGATCCGCTTCTCCTTGGCGCCGCGCACCAGGTCCGCGCACACTGAAACGCGCGCAAGCAGGGCGCGCGGAACAAAGCGAGGCATGGGAGGGAGTGAGGGAAGAGACGGAAACGAGAAAAGGAAAATGAGCATGGAGCAGTTTAAGATAAGCGCGCGAAACAGCGGAGGGTGGAAACGGTCGCAGCCATGTAAACGCTCGAAAGCTCGTGGCAGTCCATCGCCGCCGCTGTGGAGCGAACAGCGGGCCGCATCAGTCTATCGCCCTAGGCTGAACCAAGCCCGAAACCCCGCCTCAAGGGCAGTACCAGGATCGCCCCGAGGGCAGCGAACGCACACTGAATGTCACGCGCCAATCAGGAATAGAAGGAGATGGCAGGGATGAAAAGACAGCACTCGGTAAAATCCAGCGCGCAAATCCGACACCAGCACATCGCACCCAACGGCCGCAGGCAACAGGCAACATGCACGAATTCACGCGTTGCGAGGACTAACCCTTCTCGAGGCTCTTGACGTTGTTCATGCAGCTGAGCGTGATGCGGATGTTATGCACCTGCTGCTCCACCGGGGTCTCCTCCAGCCCCGCCTTCGCGGACTTCACGGGCGGCGGCACGCCTGCCATGATGCCTTCGCTAGCTGACCTGGACGAAACGAGAAAAGGGACACCATGGTTTGCTGGCCCGCTCGCTAACTTCCGCCGCTGATCGGCATTCACTGGGACCCACGCCTTGAGCCGTCGATCACATGGCGGAAAATCGCACTGGTTGGATTGGTTGCTTCGACATCCGCCGAAAGCACAAAGGCATACTACCAGGAAAGGCACGCGAACGTTCTTACTTGTCTTAGATTGTCGAGCGCACCCCCGAGACAGACGCCGGAGAACCGACCGCTTGCTGAGGGGTTTAGCAAAGAAAGTGTAAGAACGTGAAAGGAAGAACGAGGGAGGGCGCGAGACTCTTACACTGGCGGGGAGGAGGTTGGGGGGGAAGATCGCCAGCACGCTGGATCCTCTCTAAAAGTGGACCATGATAACAGCAAATCAATGTGAGTCGTAAATTCCGTGAACACTACATTCGTTACATCAGCTAACTTAGAGAGTGAAACCATTTCTCCCAAACAATTCGGTGGTCCAGCAGCACTTTTGCATAAAAGCAAATGTGTTTGCATTTCCCGTACAATCACCTTGGTAATGCTACTGTTACAAGTAACTTCTCCCGAACATCAGGAGACAGGATTCATTTTCGCCTTTACCGTGCTGGATTTCCGCACGTGAGCACTCGAACTGCCGTTGGATGACGGACAGGTATCTTTCAGGTGCATTCTGACGTGGACCGGCAAAAGTGCCCTGGTTTCCTTGCTCCTTGGGCAGCGGGCAAATTTCTGATGACAGATTCGGCCGCCTCCGCCACCTCAGCTTCCCGCTTCCTTGCTGGAGCCCGCTTGCGGCCACATCCTGTGAGAAGGTTCCTTGCCCCGTGGGAAGCCCCAAGAGCCGCGCTCGTTACAGTCACATCCCCGTCAGCCCAGGGAATAAGATGCATGCCCATCGTCTCACAACTCCCTTTTCCTTTTCCCAACTCTTTTCTTTTCGTACAACCCTAGTCTCGCGTCAAGTTAGTTATCTTGGCACCCGCCCGACTCGTTTACGCATAACTCGGAAACGCTAAGTAGTCTCGAACCCTGAGCAAACCCCTCTTTGGGATTCTCAGATCTTTTCTTTCCCCAGCGAGCGAGCATGGCTGCCTTGGAGCTGTCCGCCGTGTCGTCGCGTCTAACCGCCGTGGACGCTACCGGCATCGTTCAGAAGACCACTACCCTCAACGCCAAACCCGCATTCTTCGGGACTTCCGTTCGCCACACCGCTAACGCGCCATGCCAGCGCCGCTCGCGAGCCGCGCGTGCCGAGGCTCCCTCCGAGGGCGCGAAGGCGGGCGTGGCGAGCCGGCCGGCCGTGTCGCAGGACGCAGACTTGGCGCTGCAGAGCCAGCGCGTGAGCAGCGGCAAGTCGCTCGTGGCGCCCACGCCCAAGGGGTTCGTGTCGCGGTACGGCGACAACGAGCCGCGCAAGGGCTGCGACATTCTCGTCGAGGCGCTCGAGCGCGAGGGCGTCCGCACGCTCTTCGCGTACCCTGGCGGCGCGTCGCTGGAGATTCACCAGGTACGCGTTTCTATTCAGAATCTACGGGCGCTCCTTGGAAAAGCATCTCTTGTAGTTCTCGTCTCCTCGCATATTACGCCTCCTGCGCCGTTCGCTGTTCCCCCGTTTGCCGTTTGTCGGCATTGCCGGCGAAACTGCACCAGAGCTGATGACTTTTCAAAGAAAGATCTTCCCTCGCCAAAGACGGCACTTTTTGGCGACGGCAAACCCTAATCACCGCCTCCCCGTTCTTCCCCGCGGAACCTCCTCCCCCCACCCCGGCAGGCGCTGACCCGGTCCGACAACATCCGCACGATCCTGTGCCGCCACGAGCAGGGCGAGGTGTTCGCCGCCGAGGGCTACGCCAAGGTGTCGGGGCGCGTGGGCGTGTGCATCGCGACGTCGGGGCCCGGCGCGACGAATCTGGTCACAGGGCTGGCGGACGCCATGCTGGACTCGGTGCCGCTGGTGGCCATCACGGGGCAGGTGCCGCGGCCGTTCATCGGCACGGACGCGTTCCAGGAGACGCCGATCGTGGAGGTGACGCGCTCCATCACGAAGCACAACTACCTCGTCATGGACGTCGACGACATCCCGCGCATCGGTGAGCCGCTCTCTACGATTCTCCAAGATCTCCCTGAACGACATCCCACGCGCCCGTGAGTTGAGAGCGAACGCGCGCTCCTCCTTTACGCGTCGGTGAGCCTTTTGAGTCGACTCGAACATTACCAAGCACAACTGCCTCGTCATGCTCGGCGACGATATTCCGGGCGTCTGTGAGAGCTCGTTTCAAGATTTTTCGAAGATCTCTCACAACGACATCCCGTTGGCGAGCCGCCTCCAGAACCGAGAGCCATCACGTCAGTGCGTCATGTATCTTGCGGAAATACCCAAGATTCATATAAAGCAGTTGAGGACTCGTGGATCTTTTCAGTGCCACACGTCTTCCTCTCCATTTGACTGGCCTTCATGCTCTACCAAGCGCACGCGCCTCTCTCCTCATCCACCCTCCCCGCCCCGCACTCTTCCGCCTGCCTTCCCTCGGGTCCCCCTCCCCCTCCGCCCCCCTTCCCCCAGTGCGTGAGGCGTTCTTCCTGGCGGCGTCCGGCCGGCCCGGGCCGGTGCTGATCGACGTGCCCAAGGACATCCAGCAGCAGCTCGCGGTGCCCTCCTGGACCCAGCCCATGCGCCTCAACGCCTACCTCTCGCGCCTCCCGCCGCCGCCGCAGCGCGCGCAGGTCGACCAGATCGTCCGCCTACTGCGCTCCGCCAAGCGCCCCGTGGTGTACCTAGGCGGCGGCTGCCTGCACGCGGCGGACGAGGTGCGCGAGTTCGCGCGGCTGGCGGGCGTGCCGGTGGTGTCGACGCTGATGGGGCTGGGCGTGTACGACCAGTCGGCGCCCGACGCGCTGCACATGCTCGGCATGCACGGCACCGTGTACGCCAACTACGCCGTCGACTCCTCCGACCTGCTGCTGGCGTTCGGCGTGCGATTCGATGATCGCGTCACCGGCAAGCTCGACGTGAGTGCGCGCCGCTTTCCAGCTTGCTGCCTTGTCATGCAGTCTGTGTTGAGTGCTTTAGCTTCCCCTCAACCTCTCCCCGCAACGCTGCCACACGGAAGAGCGAACTCTGTCCGTGCTGGGTGTGTCCCGTCACTCCTTCACTCTCTCCCGTCCTCCGTGCCGCT